CTTATCATGAATAATTGACTAACTTCCAGTACATGAAAATGCGCTATTTTAATTTTAATCTAACATACTCTCAGTGTTTCCAAGCCAACACTTAAAACTTTAAAGAACATTGAGGATGTGCAAGCGCACATGAATTTATAATATATCAAGGAAATCAGAAAAATTCATTTTCATTATAAAGTAAAACTTTTTTTTCTCATTGACTCACTTTTCGCTATAAATGGTGCAGGAATGAAAAAAAGTTTATAAATACATATGTATGCATCCAGACAAACGACAATCAGCTTTAAATTTAAAATGCATAGAATTTTTGAGGTGCAACATCGCGTGTGCTGGAAAATATTTTTTTGTGACATTTTTTTTTGCCATTCAATTCCATTTTTTATTTGCACTCACATGAGTTTTTGTCTGTCTTTGTCACTTTGAATTTATGGCAAATAAAGATTTTTTTTTGCATTGCTGAAAATATTTTTTTTATTCATTTTGAAATGCAAATTAATTTTTTTAACGAATTGACAATAAAATTTATATCTACAAGAAATGCTTGATGTCATTTAATTGTACAAAAATGCATTTAATTTGATGTTTTTGAGTTTTCATGAATACGGTGAAGATAGAGAATTTCTTAAAGGGAGAGAGGAAGGAGGGGGGCGTATTGGCATATGCAGGAACTTGGTTACGCCTCAAATACTAAAAAGTTTTATTTTAAAACCTTCATTTGATACCATATTATAGATCCAGTAGTGCTAAAAGGGATTTTGTCTAAGGTACTTTACAGCTTATTAACGAAACATTATGCTGATGCAAGGTAAGCATCTATAGTGTCGGAGCAGAGCTGAATCTGGGTAATCGAGCCATATAAAGGTGAATCTGCCAGTGTGAGAATTAGGTCTGAGTTTCGCGAGTGTTTAGACAATAGATCGGATATCTTTAACCCTTTTTTGTGACGACGTGGGTTCGATTCCCACTAGAGAACGATCTCTAAATCATTATAAAGAATTTTATCGAAATGACAAGGATTCGCATAATGCTCACGACATTACACTCTCGATAACTCATGGATAGGAACATGATTCCTAAAATCACACTCCAAATTCCTTAATGGATTTGCGTTTTTGTGTTTTTGATTAAAAGTTCCAATAAAATTTTAATTGTTCACTAGAAATTTCATGGCTGGTACTTGGCTGGTACGAAAGCAGCTAATTCACAGGAATTTATAATACAAAAAATAATGAACTCATACAAAGTTGATAAGAGGATTGAAAGCTCAATATGACCTTACCCAAACACAAAAATTCTTCCAATTATTGCTTCCATCTTCTTAAAATAAAATCTACTCATGAATTTTTATTGAGAAATTTTCAAAGTTTCATTTTTCACAATTCATTAAACCACACTAACATTGAGTCTCGTACCGAGTTGTATTTGCACAAAATTTTCATCTATAAATTTTCTCCGATTATGATCGTTTCCTTCTTGTTTGCATGAAAATTAATTTTGCATTATAAATTTACATACAGAAGCTGATGGGATTTTGTTGCAGATGCGATGGAAAATTTTTTTTTTTGTATTTCTGGTTTGCACATTTTCACGTTAAATTTGAGCGAATTTTCAGAGTTAAATGGAAGTAGAATGTGAAGAGATGATGGAAAATATTAAAAATCAATATTTTTTGCTGGCCAGGGTTGTAGCTAGCAAGCTGAAGTGGCAGAATGGTTTAGTGTTTCGGTCCCTTCTTGTTGCAATACCAACTGATTGATTATAAGTTCGAGGCTCGGCATGGGAATTTTTTGTTTGACCTTTTTTGAAGCGTATGTACTGATAATGAAGCTCAACGGTTAGGCTGACCATCTGCTTGGTTTTTCAGAGGACAGTCCTCTATTTTGGTCACCTTAGTCAAAGCCTTCATTTGTAGGCTATAGGGGGACAATGTCATCAAGGGAGTGGTTCAAATCCCACTTAAAATAAGTTCTTGATTAAAGTACAGTGGCTTGATGTTTTCGTACAGTGGGTTGATGTTTTCTGACTTATTAACCACCTAATAGCCTTGAAACGCCAAAGCACAGTTTTGCCCCCTCGAAAAAATTTCTGCCAACACCCCTGTCGCTATCATTGATTAAAAGTAGTTGCTATATTCTATTCATAAGGTTAAGTTGAAATGTAATGAAATGAGGAAATAGAGCTTCATTTCCCTACTTCCAAATGAACTATTTAAAATGTATTTCCTGTAAAATCTGTCGATTAAAATATTGATTTTTTTTTCCTCAAGCATCGAATGTAAATTTTTGTAATAAATCTGCAACTTTTTTACTCCTCTTCCTCGTTATTATTTTTATTCGTGTGCCAGAAAAAGTTTTCTTATTAAGAAAATTTAATCTTCAGGAACAGCACCAGAAGCAGCAGAAGGAACACAATTTTCAAGCGAAAGCTTTTTTGCATTTTTTCAAAAAGAAAAAAAAAATCTTGTAACTTTTTCTTACTTCTTATTTCCTGTTTCCGACAACATTCTTGCAAAGGTTAAGAGCGTTACATGCATTTTGTCAATTGGATTAACTTTTGTGTAGGTTTATGGCTGTGGGAGTGATGGATATGTTTTGAATATAAAGAAATTCAATCTTTGTGCAGATTTGATGCAAATAAGGCGATTATGAATTGGAATCACGATGTATGAACTTTTGGTGGAATGTTATTGGATTTTGATGTTTTAAGGATGTTGCTTGACATTCTAGAGGTGTGTTTATAAATCAGATATAATTTGAAATCTCAGAAAATGTATGGGGAGGTGGGGTGTCTATTTAACTCTTTTGATTAAGTTTAATGCAAACTAGGGGCGGATATATTATTGGAAATTTATTAATCTCGACAGGGGCGTAGCCAGTAGGGGGTCCTTAAGTACCTGGGCAACCCTCTTGAGATTGAAACTTTAGTCAATTAATCAAACTTAATTCGTTAAAAGTAAAAACAATAAAATTAGCTTTTAATAGTCGAATAGAGAAGGTTTTATTGTATTTTTTACAGTAAAAAATTTTTTGGGTACACCACTTGAAAAATCCTGGCTACGCCCCTGAATCTCGATTATTAATAATTGAAGTCAGGAGATTCAAGGGCTTTTAAGGGAGAAGGAAAGGGGTCCAGTTTAAAAAATCCAGTTTTTTGCGTTATGTATTTAGTGAACAGCTCCCGATTAAAGTCAAAAAATTGCATTTTATCTTCTTAAAATAATTTAGGGCATTCCGTTCCATTAAAAATCAAAAGTTCTACAAACTTTTTGCAAGAAATAATTCATTCTTTACACATCAATAGAAGTAATATCAGAAGTATTTTATTAAATTGAAATGCCTTTCAGCCACTTTAATCAAACTTTATTGTTTTTTTGCTTCTTTCTTGGGGTAATTTATGAATGATGTTGGATATTGACCATGAAAAGCGAGAAGGGGGCTGGCATTTTGAATAATTTTTACGAACTCAACCGAAACCTTAATCCTAGTTAAACTACTTTATATAATGCATATAGAAAATCAAGTCGTTTTTAAAATGAAATTCCTAATTGACGTCATTTATAATCTCTTCCCAGATATTCAGTACAAAAAGATTTATGAATATTATTATTTTTGCATGAGAACATTATTTTAATGTTAATGTTTTAAGCAGAGTTGCGACGACAGGTACCTGTCACAGGTAAAGGTGACAGTTTCTGTCAAAAGATCACCTGTCACAGGCCGTTACCTGTTCACAGGTCAAATTTTTTCGCCTATCACAGGTGTGACCTGTCAAAGGTTCTACCTGTCACAGGCCGTTACCTGTTCACAGGTCAAATTTTTTCGCCTGTCACAGGTCAGACCTGTCAAAGGTTCTGCCTGTCACAGGTCGTTACCTGTTCACAGGTCAATTTTTTTCGCCTGTCACAGGTCTGACCTGTCAAAGGTTCTGCCTGTAACAGGTCGTTACCTGTTCACAGGTCAATTTTTTCCACCTGTCACAGCTCTGACCTGTCGCAGTCCTCACCTGTGACAGGTCGTCACCTGTTGACAGGTAGAAAAAATTACAAAAGTCCTCGTGTTTTGATCGAGTGACTTCAGCGCATTTTTGACGCAGCGATTAGTGTTTGCTTAACAATTTAATGCTTTATTTTTTAATTTTATAACAGTCAAAAAAAATTTGAAATTTTCTTCTAAAAATTGTTTTCTTAATATCCAAAAAAACAATTAATGTGTTCTTAAATGTCCGTATGTCTGAATAACGACCATTTACAATTTAAACTTTACAGATTTTCGATCGAAAATCATAAGTTGAAAAAATTTTTGTGGAAAGGTGTTTTTCTTAAAAAAAAAAAATGATTATCGCTAAAATAAATGAAGAAGTAGTTGGATCTATCTTTGGTCCGAGTGGACGAGTCTTACGTGAACTCGAAAATCGGTATAAGCTGAACGTCGATGCCCATAAACTTAGCGTAAGTTAAATTTTTATTTCAGAGGTTAATATGTTCATTTTTTTCAAATTTATATTTTTAGGATGATCGGAAGTTCCGAATTATATCGATTACCGGAAACATCATTAATACTTGTGGCTTCTTATACGAAATTGGCGAATTAGTCGGTTCAGCTAATATTATCATATCACCGAAAATTGCCGGCCACGTTTATGTTTATGCTCAATCGTTATTGAATCCAATCAATAGTAACGGAAGTCGTCCTCCTGCAAGCTCAGTCCCCAGTTCGACAGTCGCAGTTCCGAAATCCGGCAATGTAAACCTTATCGATTTAGAAACATCGATTATTGTCAAAAAGCACGATTCCGCCAGCTCAGACTCAGAATTTTAGTTATTTTTGATATAATAAAAGCCAAATAATAAAAGCCAAAATAGCCAAATAAGAGCTTACGTTTAAGTTTTTTTTAATTAATTCCGATTCCAGTTATTTTTCTAACCAATTGAAGTTCTAAAAATTCTATTTCTGAGGTGTGATGTATTTATACATCCAGTGAATCATATCAATTCAATATTAATCGATTTCCGGTTCAATCAGTTTGTGCTGTAATAAAGGGAAATAGTAAAAGACTGTTACAATTTTAATCAGTTTAATCTTCTCTTTATTTAATGTTTAATAAATGTTCTTTTTAAAACTAATTAGCTTTCGCGTGGAACACGGAAGGTGTTTTTTTAATATTTATTTTCCTTGTGAAACATCCATAAACGACTGAGATGTTTTTGGTTGTTGTGAAGGTTTTTCTTCTTTTGGACTTCCTTGTTCGTCTGGTTCATCTGATTTTACAGGTCCGTTTTCATCGTTATGGTCGTTTTTAATTCCGAAATTCATATTATCATCGCAAACCGGCTTATCGAGTTTCTTTTCTAAGCTATCGATTTGAGATAACATTTCAAGGCTTATCTCCATTTCGAAATTTTCGTCATCCTTCATACTGAGCTCGGTTTTGGTCGTTGATTCGATATCCGTTTCAACTTTTTGTTTTTTTACATTCCGTTCGACTTTTTCCAACATTAAACATTTCTCTAATAATTTGGCATCGTTTTTCGATTTGATCAGCTTGCGTTCGAGGTCTTTAATTTTGTTTTCATTTTTACGCTTAATTGCTCCCATTACTGAAACTGAAATTTAAATTAAAAAAAAAAAAATGATTATTTATTTTTTTTTTCAAACTTACGTCCAAATGCCGAATTTTCTATAATTTTTCCAAATTCCGTATTTAAATATCCATTTAAAGTTCTTTTATCGTCATCCGATTCGATTCCGAGTCTTTTGGCGCACGTATCTCGTTTAGCAACAATACTTTTTAAAAATATTTTTTCGTCCATTATAATTTTAAAGTTTTAAATTAGAGGCTAGGATTCAAAGAGTATGAAATTCAAATTTTTTTTTACCGTTTTCAATTAAAAAAATGCGCTAAAAACTAGAAGCTAAATTAATATTTTATTAATATATTATTATTTATTGTTTATCCTTTATTCTAATGACAATCGCCTTGTGAAATGAATAATACGACTCGTAAATTGAGGAATCGACATCGAAATTCGTCAAATTTCCAAATACAGCATCAATTGTAGTTCCCGCATTCGTAGTCGGCTTTCGAGGTGACAATAGATCCAAACCATACGTTTGTTTAATGAAATTTTCGAATTGATTACCAATTTGAAACTGGTGATTAAAATCACCCATTATAAGAACATCTCGTATTCCGATGAACTCGTGAATTTTCGAAAATGCTTCCTTTAGTATATCGAGATTCGATGCTGGATTGTTGTACACGTTTATTACGGTGAGTTTGTTGTCGATGCAATATCCAGTTAATTCGATATGATTGTTTGCGTCTCCGAGCTCTATTTCAATCCGGTTCGAAATTCGACTTTCTATTGAAGATTTACAGAAGTTAATCGTTCCAAATGCTCGAGGACGTCCTGATAACGAATTTCGTGATATTTCCTCGAAGTCCGGAATGTTGTACGACTCATTGTTAATTGCCCAACTCTCTTGAAATGCTAATATGTGGGAGTTCGTGTATACACTATCAGTAACGACTGACGAGATATGCTTTCGAATGGATTGGACGTTGTGACTGACTATTTGAATGACATTTTCAGGAACGATTCGAAGAAATTGAAATTTCGGAATTAGTGGATTTTGTCGAAGTCGTTCCATTTCGATTTTCACTGGATCGTTTTCCTCAATTTGACTAGGCGGATTAAACTGTCCGATAATATGCAATCCGTTCAACGAAGTCGCTCTCGAAAAGGCCACGTAGTATTTTTGGCGATTCATTCCTTTTCGAACATCAACGGTTACGATTTCCTCGGACCGGCCTTGACTTTTGTGTATCGTAATTGCTTCTGCCATCAATATTGGATATTGCTCACGACTTACTTGTACCTAAAATTTAAAACAGAAACATAGATGTTTTAAAATATAAAATTATATTGAAAACTTTACCTTTCCTCCTTCGGTTGTGTTGAAACATCTGTTAGTGACTGTTATTGGTGTCCAAGTTGGTTGAATTTGAGCATTTGCTTGCATAACGTTATGCCGAGTGCTTCTAGCTTTTGCTCCAGTCTTAACGTCATCGAATTCGATATAAATAGCATTGATTTTCCGGTTTTGCAATTCGACAAATCTAAGAATTCCGCAAGCACCGTTAAAAAGTCCATCACAAACGTCAATATTAGTGGAAATCATGTAACGGAGACCGATTACGAGTTGAAGCTCATATATTAAGCCTTGTGTATCATTAGGCTTCATAGATTTAATTAAATGACGTGCTCGACGTTTTTGCTCGTCTTTATATGTGCCGATGAACTTATCTACAGCTTTATATGTAAAATGCAATGCGTTAGCACGAATTAATTCTTGTGCACGTTGCATGTTGTATGTGTCGACTCCTTCATTAAATGCGATCAATCGGAGTCGAGTACGAGCAACAGTAGGAAGTGTATTTTCGTTAAAACATCGGCTTTCGAACAACTGATTGTCTTCTTGAGTAGTTCGTCCAACAGCAAGTCGATTCAATGCTTCAGCAAATCTTAAATCATCACGTTGTCTCATAATTTCGGTAAGTTCGAACATCTGAAAAGGCTTCCATTGTGGATTGTCGACAAGAGCTGCAGTTGAATGACGTTCTTTCGATTGAAAGCAATATGGGGCTCCGATAGGTCGCAATTGTGCAAAATCTCCGACAGCGATGATCGAACGACCAGCAAATTCCTCTTTCGATTTGAAAGCTTGCTTCATGTTTGAGCTCATTTGATGTAAGTGTTTTGATGATAGGAAGCTGATTTCATCGATGATTGTCAACTTGTTTGATCGCATGTTACTAGCTAGCGTATTAGCGATATCCGGAGGAAGACCTTTATCCGTTTTGCCTTGATTTGCTGCTAAATGAAAAGCACTATGTGCTGTAATTCCACCAATATTATGTGCCGCCATACCGGTATAAGCGACAAGAAGGACTTCGTTTGAATCGACAGGACCCGGCTCGCTACGATAAATTCTCATTATTGATTGATATATTGCCTTAATCAATCGGCTTTTTCCAAATCCAGCTCCTCCTGCAATGTAATGATTAATTGGTAGGCAGGATGGATTATTGAAGCAACTTATTACATGCATTAGGTAGTCTCGTTGTCGTTCATTCAAGGAGTCACACAATTCATAATATTCGTCATCGGATAAGATATCGGGAACCTTATAACGACTGACGACTGTATTAGATTCTGGTGCTTCCATTCCCATTTCGACTGCCGCATTCGGTTGAACAATTGTATCATCAAAGTCGTATACGTTTTGGAAATCCGGATTAGCTTGTTCAACATCTTCACGGTCTTCAGCATCGGCTTCTTCCAATAGTCGTTCATTTTGTATATCTCTAGACATTTGTTCTAAGTCTAGAGAAACTGCATTGTATTTGTCATAATTTTCTTTGATGGTGGCTTCATTTTGATGGAATAATTCGGAACAATTCTGTGACTCGATATCAGTATCTTCATTTCTCCACGGCAAGAACAGCAAACACATTTCCCGATAATAATTCGCTTCATCTTGAGCGATATTGAAGCGGCAGTATCTAATTACTTTCGGTCGTCGTCTTCGTGTAATAGTTCCACTATTGTTCTTTAATTCAAACGTTTTCTTCTCGAGTGGATTGGTCTGTTCATCGTCATCGACTATTTCGAGTTCTTCAGCGTCATTAGCAATATCTCCTTCTTCAGTGTTGTCATTGACTGGTCGACCTTTCGGTTTGTAGTTGTATTTAGCAATGAAATCTGCAAGACATTCGTTTCCGAGTTCTTCAGGTCGGTCACTATATCGATCAATTAGTCCTTTCTTGTATATGTCAGTGCTATTAGGGTCAGTTTTCATAAGTTTGTCGATTTCTGCATTCGTCTTTAACATTCGTTGTCGTTGCTTGAAATAATGTAAGAAATTAAGGTTTTATTTTAATTTGAAAAGTATTTATCACTTACCGATTTCGGACCAGAATGAATGAATTCTACGACATCGGAAGACATACACATCGGTTGCCGGAGTCGAATCCAAGCCGCTTCTTGTGCCGATGTTTCACTGCAATTGTACAGGACTTTCGAAAGTGCGTTGAGTTTCGATTTAATGCTGTGATTGCCACGTTCGTAATCCTTGATACATTGTCGCAATAACCGAGATAGTCCTTTGTCGGCTTTGTTGACGTAGTCGACCACGTAGCAAATACAGGAGTACACGTCCAGTATAAATTGAATATCCATATTTGATCTCATTGCAATAAGCATCTTCTTGTTGTATGGATTTATTCGGGCATTCTTGGGCAGTCGTTTAACGAAAACCTTTCGTGACTTAAGTTTTGCTCGTGCAGCAAGGAGATAGTCATCAAAACTGCATCCTAATTTATCTAGTAAATCGTCGAACGATAACGAACTCGCTGCTTCCGATTCGAGTATGTCATGCAGATTCTCATTAATCTTTCGAAGTAAGTCCTTTTTCGCTTGTGCTAAGACCATCGTATCCGGAATTGGCTCTAGTATCATTGTTTGTGGAAGTGGCAAAAAAGGTGCATTAAATCGGCATGTTTCCTTTCCTCTTCTTCCTTTCTTGCATGTGTGAGTGCATCGATGTTTCTGTACGTATATTATGCTAGAAACTTCCGGATCATCGGTATCAGTTGTGACTATTTCGTCAATGAATTCACAAACTCGCTTGTACGAATCCGGATCGTCAGGATTGAACTTGGGTGCGTCTTTCAAATCGACGAATTGATGAGCATGCGGCGATCCCCGATGTTGCCATTCGATACGACAATATTTGTGTGCTATCTTGTACTTTCCGAATGGTCCGTCTTCGGCTTCCCATGTTTTCCACAACGCTTTTAGTCGATGGTAGAAATACTGGGCACACGTAACTGGATCCGAACTTATTAGTCGAGATTTTTCTTCAAATGTCAAATCCATTGCCTCTTCACCAGAAATGTCAGCTTTGTCCACAGTCTTTTTAAGGATAACAAGTAATTCCGGCCAATGAGTTTCTGCTGCCGAGTTCGTAACGAAGAAAGTAAATCCACCGAACTGTCGAACCATCGCCATTACTTTCTTCTTCTGAGCTTCGAAATATGGTGGACTTCCTGTTATCGCTGCCATAAATCGATATGCGGAATCGTTATTAACAGCATTATCGAGAAACTGTTTATTTGCTACTTGACCGGCTGTGATGTTGTTATTTTGAGTACTTTTTCGAAGAATAACAGTTGCTTGCTTTGTAAGTTGTTCAATTTGAGACTTCTTATATAAGTATAGAATATGATCGGGACGACAGGCTCGACGGTCATATCTACGAATTTCCGAATTTACGTAATCCAGATTCGACAATGCTTTTTGACCATCTGGTGGCATTGCTCTCTGCTGACCACACCATATTGTTGGAAACGCCAACTCTTCACAATACTTGTCCATAAACATTGGAATCGGATTTCGGCCTTCACCTGTAATTACAGATTGAAAAATGTTTTTAGTCAATGACTTTCAAAAAGTATCATGAATTGTTACCTGGAGCAATTCTAATGGCATCCGATGGATCGAGTTCCGGTACGAACTGCATTGCTTCCATTGAATCGAGTAACGTTTCTTCCGGTAAATGACGATCGGTAGGCTCGACTGGTTCTGGCTCTGAAGGCGATTCTAAGTTAACTGTATCTCGTGATTGCAACTCGTTATTAGTATTGACGGTTTCGTTGTCAGGTTCAACAGCACTAACTATAAAGAAATTTAAATTTTATGTAAACACATTGGCACAATTTATAAACAAACATTACCTGCAGGATTAAATTCCTGATTTAATGTAATGCCAAATTCAGTATAAAGTGGCGTTTGGCATAAATATTCTGCAGCAGCCCATACATCAGCTGGTCGAACACGTTCTCGAATGTAAGGGTTCTTGTAAGACATTTTTCGCATTAACGAAACTTCAATGACATGTGTATCGTCCACCGATCTCGGAATTGCGTTGACTGCAGTTGAAACATCGATGGGAACATTAACTATACCGGATTTTATCTTTAATTGTCCTGCATAATTAGCTTGTTCGATCTTCATGAATGGAATTCGAGCTGCTACACATCGTTCCGCTAATGGAGTCAGCTTCTTTAAGCAGTCAGGAACATCAGGAAACTTCAAGTTCGACTGATTAATATTCAACTTCGAGTATGTTTGCTTACGAATATGAGCCATGCAAGTTGAACAGAAAATGAACTCGGGATCGTCAATTAATTCGGAAATTATGAGTCCAGTTATATATGCGTCAGTACATCCTCGTTTCTCTTGTAGTTTTTCACGAGTCGTTACCGATACTTGCGTCTTAAAAAACAATCGATCACACGAGTAACATCGATGATATGGACCGTCTTTAACAATTGCATTGTATGTCTCGATTGCTTTGTTCCACGGAATTCGCTTTGCTCGACGATTTTGACGACTTACTGAATCTCTTGCTGATTCAACTTCTAAATAATCCACATCTGAACGACGATTTTGACGACTTACTGAATCTCTTGACAATTCAGCTTCAAAATGATCCACATCCGAACGACGATTTTGACGACTTACTGAATCTCTTGCTGATTCAACTTCTAAATAATCCACATCCGAACGACGATTTTGACGACTTACTGAATCTCTTGACAATTCAGCTTGTAAATATTCCACATCCGAACGACGATTTTGACGACTTACCGAATCTCTTGCAGATTCAGCTTCTAAATGATCCACATCCGAACGACGATTTTGACGACTTACTGAATCTCTTGACAATTCAGCTTGTAAATATTCCACATCCGAACGACGATTTTGACGACTTACTGAATCTCTTGACAATTCAGCTTGTAAATATTCGAGGTCCGATCGACGATTTTGACGGCTTATCAAATCTCTTGATGATTCGGCTTCTAAATAATCCGGATCGGATCGCTTTTCTCGTCTTAATTCGTTGTCACGATCCAATTTTTCTTGATTTTTTTCAGCATTAGCAACTTTTTGTTTTTTCTTCTTTTCCAAGTCCTTTTTTACAGTCAAAGGCTTTGTCTTTCGTTTTGGCATGTTCTAAAACAAGTTAACAAAATAGTTATACAATTTTTAGCTTTTTAAAAGTTAATTTTACCTTATTATTTAATTAATTAAACTTTATAGAAAAATGTATTTTTCACTGTTTCGTTGTTTACAACTTTTGGTGTGAAAAATTCAAATTTTTTCAACCGTTATAAAATAAACATAAAATCATAATTTCAGCATAAATACATAGATTCCACAACATATTCTCGGATTTCAAAACGATTTTGATTTAACAGTTTTTTGAAATTCAAATTATCCAGTCTGACAGTGTAGAAGTTCCCATCAAATGTTCGGATAGTGTAGAAGTTCGGAGTGTAGAACTCTAATTTTTTTAGAAAATTCTATTTTTAACACATTAATGTTATGTTTTGAGATTTTTAAATGTCCGGCGGGCCAATAACTCGATATAACGGAACTAATGCAAAAAACTAGAACTCTCTACGATGTCTAGATTAAAAGTTTTTCTTAGCAGCCGACCAGCCAGCCGACCAGCCGACCAGCCGACCATAGTGCGTTATTAAGCTACCTTTTTGAAAACAAGTTTCAAAAATGCGCTAAAAATCTACCTGTCACAGGTTGACCTGTCACCTGTCACCTGTCACCTTTGACTATCGAAATTTTTTTCTTCTAGTGAAGTATAAAGATTTCATACAAAATTCATCAATTTTTTTGCTTCCTCAAGTCACGAGTTCAAATCTCACCGCAAGCAACTTTCTTTTTTTGCATTTTTATGATTTGTTTTTAAACTTTTTTGATATAACATTAAGTTTTATGACAAAGTTTTCCATTTTCATATTTTATTTCTTCACTTTCTATATTTTAACATGTATTTTAAATTTTTTCCATATATTTTCATACAAATTTAAATTTTTTTGTCATATTTTATCAATATTTTATACATATTTTATTTTAACAAGCTGAAATCTGATACAAAGGCTCTTTTCCTAGATCTGGATGTTCTAAAATCGTAATCTTGGATCATAAAATGTCATAAAATATTAAAACTAGTATAGACTTTGTCATTCGAGACCGCAAAAAGTCGAAATATATAAAAAATTATAATCCAAGATTACGATTTAAGAACATCCAGATCTAGGAAAAGTGCCTTTGTGTCAGATTTCAGCTTGGTAAACTAAAATATGTCATAAAATATTAAAACTAGTATAGACTTTGTCATTCGAGACCGCAAAAAGTCGAAATATATAAAAAATTATAATCCAAGATTACGATTTAAGAACATCCAGATCTAGGAAAAGTGCCTTTGTGTCAGATTTCAGCTTGGTAAACTAAAATATGACAAAAAAAGTTGAATTTGTATGAAAATATATGGAAAAAATTTAAAATACATGTTAAAATATAGAAAGTGAAGAAATAAAATATGAAAATGGAAAACTTTGTCATAAAACTTTATATTTTATCAAAAAAGTTTAAAAACAAATCATAAAAATGCAAAAAAAGAAAGTTGCTTGCGGTGAGATTTGAACTCGTGACTTGAGGAAGCAAAAAAATTGATGAATTTTGTATGAAATCTTTATACTTCACTAGAAGAAAAAAATTTCGATAGTCAAAGGTGACAGGTGACAGGTCAAACCTGTGACAGGTAGATTTTTTCTACCTGTCAACAGGTGACGACCTGTCACAGGTGAGGCCTGCGACAGGTCAGAGCTGTGACAGGCGAAAAAAATTGACCTGTGAACAGGTAACGACCTGTGACAGGCAGAACCTTTGACAGGTCAGACCTGTGACAGGCGAAAAAAATTGACCTGTGAACAGGTAACGACCTGTTACAGGCAGAACCTTTGACAGGTCTGACCTGTGACAGGCGAAAAAATTTGACCTGTGAACAGGTAACGGCCTGTGACAGGTAGAACCTTTGACAGGTCAGACCTGTGATAGGCGAAAAATTTTGACCTGTGAACAGGTAACGGCCTGTGACAGGTGGGCTGTTTTTGTTGACCTGTGACAGATCGCAACTCTGGTTTTAAGACAGTATTTTTATAAAATATAAGATAAACTTCTAAAATGTTTGCAATTTGTGTAAATAATCACTTACTTAAAGGTCATGTTTAACATGCACAGTAAAGCAGTAAAGCTTTATTTGAGCTCTGAATGATAAATCGGCTTACTTTTGAGCTTTTGAGAGGTTTATTGAGTTTCTTTTTTGGAAATTTGTTGGTTCATGAACTCTTTTGAGCCTGTTAAGGCATGATAGGGTGGACCCCACTCCTCATCCTCTCTTCTGGCTAGGGGTTCCAGAATTCCCGTTCCCGTAAGATTTCGGGAATCGGGAACGGGAACGGGAATGATGTCCGGGAACGGGAATATTCCCGGGAATCAACAAAGAAAAAAAAAATTAAAAGCTACACTTACATCATGTATTTTATTTAAGTTTTTAAATCAAATTTGAATTCTATTTGATTTGATTGTCAAATTGATTCTTTTGACAATAATTTCCGTTTAAAATTCAATTCTTATTGGTTTTAGAACAATTCTTAAAGTACGATTTTAAAAACCTGGTTGCATTAACGTGCTGGTTTAGCAATCTATAACTGTAAAATGCTTCCAAACCCAAGACATCCTAATTTATTGACTTCTGATAATCTACGAATATGTACATGATTAAATTACAACTTATGAACTGATTTTTTGATTACTTACATATTCAATATTAATTTCAAGCACATTTTTTTATTTTGGAAAAATTACTTTAATCCAATGTCAATTAAGTTTATTATTTTATAGACATCATACATTTAAAAAATATTTTTAAATACTTTTCTCTTCGTTTTTCATAAATATATGTTTTTGATTTAAAAAACATCAAATTTGAGTTTAATATTTCAACTCTTAAATTCCTTAACGTATGTTTTCATTATTATTATAATTTTTTTCTTTAAATTGTAGTTTTTTCATGAAAGATACAACATAAAAAAAAATTTGAAAAAAATCTAATTTGAATTGTCGGTTTTTTGGTATGAAAACGGGAATTTCGGGAATATTCCCGACAGATTTTCGGGAAACGGGAACGGGAACGGGATTCCCGTTCCCGGGAATTCCCGGGAATATTCCCGATTTTAGAACCCCTACTTCTGGCAGACGTCCTTTGGAGAAGTTGTCGAGAGGGTCTATGCCAACTGGTAAATGATGAAGCTAACTAGAGACGAATCAAGCAAGATTATATAATCAAAAAATAACCCAAAATAATTATTCCAAGACCCCCAAGGATATTATTAAGAATTATTCAACAATCCAGTAAACAATAATATTATTTCACGTCCAATTTGCTACAAAATTCTTTCAAAATCTTAATCAAAAGTCATTCGACACGTGTGACAATAAAAAATAGAAATTGTGCCATTTGCAGTCAATTAGCAAGAAGAATACTTTCGTAAACAAAAAAGGAATTGATTTAAATCATCACGATTCTCTGATTGATTCACGCTTGTGCTCATTCAATTGCTGTATCAATTGTATTTTTGTTTCCATTATTTATCTAAGCGTGTTTATACATTTTCAATGTTTTTTGAATACATTTTTTTCGGCATCAACATTACCATGATTGCCGAGGATATTATTACTTTTACTGTTATTTTTATTTTTTCAATATTCTCGAAAAGAAAAAAAATAAGAAAGCAAACACGTGAATAGGCAAATAAATAAAGCCAAAAATGATAGCATAAAAGAAGGCATTGCCCGTTTTTTTTATATATTATTTTCCGGCATTCAAAAGTTAAGCTCCTTTACTTCTCCAAACCATCTCAATTCCAATTCAAATGGTTTTCAATTGCTTTTGCTTATATTCCTTTTTTTATTTTTTCATTTCTTCGATCATTTCAATTTCTTTACGTCCTTGAAGTGTGACGACTTGTTTTGCCATGCGAAATAATCATCGGAAACATCTGCCATCGTCATAATATTATTTCACTTTGCATTGAATGTAGTTAAGATGATGAAAATAAGACGAGAAAGTGAGATGGAGGATGAATAAGGAATGCAGGGATGGTGCTTGGGAGCTGAGCTGATTTACCTTTATCATGCAAAATTATGGAGATTAACTTATCCGATGTGTCGTGTTGCCCCCTTCTCTCTTGTGTTTCAAGCATCAATGAGCTCCTGACCTTCTAAACTATCCAAGTTCTAGAGTGCCAAAAGTGAGCAACTCCGAAGCGAATTAGAGTTTCTCCAATTGTATGAGTTTATGTTAGGAATCTTGATCAGTTGTGGCTTAGCTTTTTCGAGTCATGTCACACTCTGACACATAAAATGTTTTGCAGCACACCTGAGCATCCTTTGGTTCACACAAGTGTGTTGCTCGAATCACACAGATTGACCACCACTGACCTAGAGTGATCGATTACTTGGTATAGAAAAGGGGGAAGAGAAGAGGCATGACTTGAAATGGCTTTTCCTTTGAAAGAAAAATAAATAAATAAATAATAATAATAATCAACTCAACTTTGGCATGGACCTACCCTGGAATTAAATTTTAATAAATTGAGCTTTCAAAAAAGCTTAGTGGTGCCACCTTTTTCGTTCTTATTAGGCAGGATGATTAATATTTGAATGCGAGCCATCTTTGGATACTCAATATTTACACATGCACAGAACCAACCCTGACTCAAAAGAAAAATAACAAAAAAAATACTAAACAATAAATAAAAATTCAATTTTTTTTCCTCCGTCATTGACTTTCTTCCTTTTCGTTTTTTCTCTCTTTGCTTTCTGCTTTTTTGACACAATTGATGAGAATTGATGAAGCCTGAATTTTATTTCTACTCATAAATTATCTTATGGCTTACAACAACAACAGCAGCACAAAATAATAATATCGAGCAAAAAAAAAATATAGGAAAAGAATAGAGAGTGAGTGCTTTTTTTTCGTGAATTGAAGGAGGACCATCATTTTTGATGTCTCAATTTCATTCCGAAACACCGAAAAGCTTTTATTGCAATTTGATGAGTATCTCATGGAGAAAAGACCTCGCGGC